CAGGGCGCCCGCGCCCGACACCCAGGCTGAGATAGCAATTGAGATTGGGCATGGTGGTGCACTCATCTATAATCCCAGCTCTTGGGAGCCTGTAAACAGGTGGATCACTACAAGTCTGATCTAGTAGTGAGACCCTGATCATGCTGTAGGCCCTTCCCTAAAATACAAAAAAATAGAAAAGACACACCACAGAGTGGGAAAAAATTTTAGTTAACTGTCCCTGAGACAAAGGACTTCTATCTAGAACATATAATGAACTGAAAAAACTTAGACCCCCAAATTCAAAAACCCTATTCAAAATGAGCATCTGAGATGAATATGCACTTCTCAGATGAAGAAATACAAATGGCAAATAAGTACATGAAAAAATGTTCAACATCATTAGTCATTCAAGAGACGCAAATCAAAACACTGAGATTGCATCTCATCCCAGTAAGAATTGCAATCATCAAGAAATCAACTCATAACAAATGCTGGAGAGGCTGTGAGGAAAAAGAAAGCCTTCTCCACTTTTGGTGGGAGTATAGACTTGTACAACTACTGTGGAAATCACTGTTGAGATTCTCAAAAAAACCCCTAAAATTAGAGGTCACATTCAACCCAGCTATTCCCCTCCTGGGCATTTTCCCAGAAGAATTAAAAACATCATACCACAACAACATATATGCACATATGTTTATAACAGCAAAATTTGTCACTGTTAAAACTTGGAATCAATCCAAATATCTATCAACTGAGGAATGGATAACTAAGATGTGATAGTTCTATACAATGGGATATTATTCAGCTATCAAAAAACACAAACTCGGGGCTGGGGAGATAGCTCAGTAGAATAAATTCTTGCCTGGAAAGCACAGGGTCCTGAGTTCAATCCCCAGTACTGAAAAAAAAAAAAAAAAAAAAAAAAGATAAACTCAAGGCTTTTATAGATAAATGAATGCAACTAGAGACCATACTCATAAGAGAAATAAATCAGACCTGCATGTGTAAACACTGTATTGCTTCACTAGCATAAGAACCTGAAAGAGTAAATAAAATCTGAAAGGTACAATGCATACTGTGAAAGGGAAAGAATTTATTCAAAGGGAAGGAACAACTGGGATGAGGGAAAGGACAAAATAAAGGAAGAAGGAAGGGGAAAAGAAATATTTATGTACATATACAAGATAGCTTGGGTAATTGTATTGCTAAAAGGAGCAGTTAATACTTAATTAATTTGCAGTTCTTAAATGACCAATGATGTTGAACATTTCTTTTCATATACTTATTTGCAATTTCTACCTCTTCACCTGAGAAATAGTCATTAATTTCAGATAACATTTTTGGATTAGGTCTTTATATTTGGGGTGGCTGACTTTTTTTTTTTTTTTTTTTTTTGCATAACTAGGGATTGAACTCAGGCCCTTGTGCTTGCCAGAGAAGGCAAAAATTTTCCCACATTGTGTTGTCTCTTCACTCTGTTAGTGGTTTCTCTTGCTGCACAAAAGCTTTTTAAAAAGATGACATCCCAGTTGTT